GTTGAAGTTATCGCGCTGGTGGGGCGCGAGCGATTCGCTTGGGTGAGCGATTCGCTTGTGAACCACGTTAATAATAATAATAATGCGGCTTCAGTTTTGCCAGCAGCGAGAAAACGGCCACTTGGCTAGCGAGTGAATGATATGGTTCAGACGATGCTGATAGCTGATACTTCGCTAAAAGCGAGTAATCAGAATTCGCTAGCAGGTTGTCTAGGTGATACATGCAAATGGGAAAACTTGACTTTACTGTACCTGGAAGGTTAGCGTAAACCTGTATACAAAGCCAGTTCTTGCTCTGCTATATCATGCGGCACAGTTCTTCGGCACGCGTACAAGTTCGGCGTGATGCGATAGTGATGGATGACGGTTGGCAACATTGACCAGAGGGTGAGCGGTTTCGTGAGCAACTCGGAACATGACTTGAGCTTTTCACGCTGGGCGGTCAAAGCGTCCATTATGGCTTGGTCATGTATCGTAAGACGTGCTCTCCCCCTGCCTCATAAGCAGCTTACAGGAGTAGATAGGTAGAGCAGATTAAGTAAAGATGCCGTTCCGTAATAACACTCAAGCAAATTACAGCTCATTCTGAGTCTGCTTGCACAGGGTAATTCGGCACTCGTGTCCATCGTGGCTCTAGCAGGTCATCTGCATAGCCATGCCCAGCCAAATTGCCGAATGGCCTCAGCATCGTCAGCTCTAGAGACGAAGTTTAGCTGCTCTACGAAACGAGACTATAGAATGCCAAGAAGAATAGAAATAGCGTTATACACTGAGAAATTCATACTAGGAGGTGCTGTGTATTAACAGGTCCACTCTTTATATCAATCAAATCGCAGCGCTCTTGTATGGGTGTTGTTTCATGCAAATACAGCATTATGTACCAAGACATTTTGGTTGTTTGCCTACTAGCTATTGCTGCTGGCTTCCTGTTCGGCATCATAACATCGCAGCGCTGTTTGCGTCGGGCAACCAACCGCCTGCCAGAGGGCCCTTGGGGCTACCCTTTACTAGGAATGCGAGCGTTCTTGCCCCACTCGCTGTATGAAGATATCTAACAAGAGTGTATAGGCTGTTTCCCTGTACTGAAAATATATCCCGAGCGAACATTACACAGATGGGCCCAAAAATACGGATCGCTTTATTTCTTTACAGTCGGCAATCAGCGATTCGTCGTAGTATCAGATTCTGAGATTGCGAAATATCTCTTTCTCAAAAACGGGTTTATCTGTTCGATCGCAAAGAAATATTCGTCAAGAGCCAGACAATTCTCAAGGGCAGAGGCATCGCATACACTTCGTACGGAAACATGTGGTAGGCCCCATACACTATGTGCACCAAGCAAGTTCACAACCAAAGTCTGATACTAAATCGACTCAAAGGCGTAAGAATAGCAAGATAGCAATAGTCTCGCTAGACCGGCAAGACATTCGCCAGCAAGTTAAACAACCAAAATGATTCGAGCGATGTGCAAGGACGGGGCGGACTGAAAGCATGTAGACCCCCAGGTCCACATTAGTCGCTGCTCACTCAATCGCATGGGAATAATCACATTCGGCGCTCTTAGGGCCTATGTCGCTGACTCCCGGGTTCTAGCCCTTTCGCACGACTTCATGAATATGACTGGCCCCATGTCTAATCTAGTTGACTTTCTACCTACATGGTTGCAGGAAGGCTTACCTTGGGAAATGAAGCGCCGCGCAAATGAACTAAATACCGCACTCATGGAAACCTACGGCCAGGAAGTTAGGCGTGTTGAGCGCGATATGAAGAACGACGTGCATGTCGAGGATTGCTTGGTAAAGACCATGATCACGAGGAGAGAAAAAGACAAATTGGATGATATAGACATAGCGACGCTAGCCTCAGCGTTCATGCTAGAGAGCGTAGATGCGACTGGTTCAATTATACAGTGGTTCACCGCGCTAATTTCCACTCACACTCACGTACAACGCAGGGCTCATGAAGAGCTCGATCGTGTCGTTGGCCGCAGCCGCGCTCGTAAATTGAGAGACAAGGCTATTTTGCCCTATCGTCGGGCCATTGTCAAAGAAGTAGAGCGGTGTCATAATCCATTTTGGCTTGGTATTCTACATGCGGTGAGCAAAGATCTCATATGCAACGATAAGCTCATTCCGGCGGGATCGGTCTTACTACTGAACACACGGAACATGCACCACGATCCAGCAAGATGGTCTGGAACACTACCGGACAAGCGCCGGATCTAGGTAGTCCGGACTCGTACTAGAGTATCCCTCACTTCCAGGAAGTATAAATGTAGACAGGAAGACTGTAGTTGTTAGGCAGATTTCTAATATCCTTTCGTGCAAGGCCTATAGGTGTCTACTTGAATCAAGGCTCTTATGCTGTCCCACGCATTCCCATATGCCTCTGAGTGACACTACCTGCCGGTACTGATCCGAGTAGTCTTGCCTGCGCCGTTACAGCCGGCGCCACTTTTTTGAACTTTACCTCTTTATCCAAAGTTTCAACTTATGGCACTTTATCTAATTAAATTACTCTGTAAGACTAGATTATCTCAGCGCTAGTTTATATTATGCTTAGCTTTGATAAGCACTAACTAGCACTTGTTTAGAGGAAGCGCCATGCATTTATAAATTGACCAATTTAAAGCTTTACTATATATTACTCTTTAGACACTTCGCTAACAGCCATCGTGCAACTCTACTTTGAACCACCTACTTTCTTCCCTAGCAATTGTGTTGTTTTACTCAACTATCACGTATCTCTCTGGAATATGAAGTGTAATCTAGATTCACTCTTAAATCGAACACGTTAGTTTATATACTAACTTTTGTCATAGTCTCTACTCTATTCTTCACGCTAAGCACCTTATCCTTGATAGCTGCCTATAATCCTAGGCACGTTGAGGGTCTAAAGCGCGTTGAGGCTTTTAAGCGCTCATCGCCGCTCCAGAGCGTTAATATTCAGAAGAGATGGAATTGCGCTAGATGTTTCTTTACCGCCTGCCCTACTAATCACGAATGTTGCCATTGTGGCTATTGCGCTGAACTCAGCGGTAGGGATCCTGAAGTATAATATTAGTTGTGTTTACTAATTGTCACAGATGCTTGTACGAATGGAACTGGCAATTGATTACGATAATCCTAAATGTTACACGGGGTTGGGCTATACTTGCCTAGTCGGTCCGGGTTAGGGCGAGACGGGTCGATGCTTGTAAGCCGTGCGATTGTTGTCTGGCGATTCGTAGTAGAATGAAGTTACCAAGGTTTAACCAATAGTATAAGAACAATCAATTCTATGTGCGATAGAATAACTAAGTATCAATCTGTGTAAGAGAAGAACTTATGAGAGTTGACCACAACGAATGTAATAATGAAATCAAACCCATTCTTATATCCATTGCCTTTGGTCCTGCCATCCCATCCATCCCATCTTGGCGGGATGGTTGTGATGGCGCTGCCATCCCTATATGCACTGCCATCCCGGATGGCCAGCCTTGTGTTAGGACTCAGCCCTGTGCCACTGGGCCATAACAACCAAAAAGGTACGAGTAATCAGCGTTCTGCTGATGCTCTGCACAGGATAGTATATATCGTCAGACTGACCAGGTCCTGACAGTAGGTCGCTGCTCCCTCTTATTATCTGGCTAGCTTCGACCTATAGAAGTAACTAGACTACCTTTTCAACCTCTGGCTGGCATTATGGACACCCAGAAAACGGATATGATGACTCAAAGATTAGCCTAGAGTGGCTTACCCGTGTATTCGCATACTTGGGAACAAGCAAGCAAGCAAGCGTGCTTGCTTGCTAGCTTGCTAGCTTGTTACGCTTGATTGCTAATTTAGAGGAGCCTGCTTGGCTTGCGCTTGCTTAGTTAGTCAAAAGTAGAGTAGCTTGAAGCTCGCTTGATTGGCGCAAATTTATAGAGAGGCGCTTGGCTTGTTTGAATAGGCAAGCAACTAAGCGTAACAAGCAACCAAGCAAGAGCGCTTGCTTGCTTGCTTGTTCCCAAGTATGTGTGTTCGATCCTTGAACCAGTGGACGAGCTAACGGAAAGCCCCGGGTCCTAATTTGCGATGGTTTTGGAACACACGAGACCCTAGAAGTTCCAAAATTCTGCTTCGCCAATAATATTACTATGTGCCGCCTGCCGTCTCATACCTCACATAAACTACAGCCCTGTGATGTTAGAGTCTTCGGGCCTCTTAAGACAGCCTATCGTGACGAGGTAGAACGGCTCTGTCGGGGAGGGCTAGAAGCTGTCAGCAAGGAGCACTTCAATTCTATATATAAGTCTACTAGGGAAACAGCGATGACCAGGAGGAATATCACTGCCGCATGGGCTGCAAGTGGTTTGTTCCCATTCAACCTAGAGAGTCCTTCGAAAGACGCCAAAGCCGCCCCTAGAGATAGCTATTCCAGACGTGCTTGCTCGTCTATAAGACTAACAAGAAGCTCAAGTACCTACAACCCCTATAACGCTAGTAACGACAGAGAATGTACTGGATGTGGTCAGTGCATGCAACAGTTCACCCGATGCAACACCCCACCAAAATGGGCGCCCACCAAAAAACGAAGCTTTTGACCACCACTAAAACGGTATTATCGCGAGATATTTTAGTGGAGTAGTGCCATGATCGTATGTTTGATATATATCTATAGATATTTACTGGGCAACCGCACACTGCGGCCGCGCGTGGTGGTTTTGGTGGGAGGCTTGGCGGGTGGTGATGCATCACCACCACCACTTTCAGCCTCCACAACACGACGCTGCTTT